TAATACTTAATTAATTAACTTATTAATGTTAAATATACTTTGCCTGTTAAAAGGAAAATCTTAATTTAATCTTAATTAATTCCATACATCAAAAACATTGAGGTAAACTGGAAAATTTTAATTTAATCTTAATTTGCAATTTCCATGTTTGCTTTCACTCTGCAGAAGTGTTTGTGGTTGTCTTTCTGAGCCCCTTGTGTGTGGCATGGTTTCAGTGGCATTGCTTTTGTGAAGTGGCTCTGAGAACTGTCCCTTGGCAAGATCAGTGACTGAGTTAAGACCTCCTAGAAATGCAAAGCTTTGAGACTCCCTGGCCTCAGGAGAGGCTGTTTCAAAAGCTGCATTGAGGATTTTGAGGATTCTTGAACTTCAGACACTGCTGCAGCAGCAGGTTTTTTCTCCTCGTTTGGCATGCTGTAAATAAATCTGTGGGCAGGGGTTTAGTGTAACTTTTCACTCAGATGCAGCACAGAAATAGTGCAGAATGAAAAGGGACAATTCTAAAGGGGTGTTTACAGCAGTCTGTTGGACTTCTGACTTGCTTGTGTTGACTTCCCCTGCTCCAGCCCAGGATGGTGGCAGTGCCATGGAGCAGAGTGTGCTTCCCTCATTATTCCATGTTCCCCTCACCCACTGTGGATTTAACCAGGTACTGCTGGGCTTGGGAACCCCAGATCTCGATTTCAAACACCATCCCTGCCTCCTCTGAACTTACAATAAATGTGAATTAAGCCCATTTGTATATCCAAGACCTGCCTTGGACTCCCAAATGCATCTGAGCCACAGGTGACATCTGAGCTGATGGCAAAGCTTTGGGACACCACCCAGGGAACAGCCCCAGATACAACAGCTCAAGGAGTTTGGCAGCCCAGGTGTCCTGGTTTGGAAAGCCAGGAGTCTGCTAAGGAAGGCAGGAGCCTCCCCTGAAATGGAGAAAATGAACTCCTCCCCTCCAAATTGCATTAAATTTTAAATTAAGGGACTCTCTGGCAGCTAAAAATATGGGAGCAGGAATAACAGTTCTTTAATAGGGAAGAAAATAAAAGGATAAAATAAGCACTGCAGTACACCAGAACAACACTGCCAGAGTCAGAACCCAACCTAACACCCTGTGGGTCAGGCTGTTGGTGGCAGTCCCATTGGAAATGTGGCTGCAGCCCTCCTGCAGTGTCAGGGGTGGTTCTGTTGGAGCAGGGGGATCTGTAGAGAAGGATGGATTCTTCCTCTGAAGATGCAGTGGAAGGAGAGGCAGCTGCTGTTCCTCTGGGGAATCCCATGGAGAAAGCCGTGCTGGTGTCTCACAAACCTCTGGATTATATCTGGGTAGCAATGCTGGCTCCTCCCTCTGGATTATATCTGGGTAGCAATGCTTGGCTCCTCCCTCTGGGCTCACATCTCCCAATGGGATGTTCTAGTTCTTATCAGCCATGCAGTGACATTCAATAGTCTGTTATCAGCAATGTCCCCTCCCAGGGAGGTGTGAATGTGGTCACTCAAAGGCAAACTGCCCACTTGACAAAGGTAATCTGCCACACAGATGGGAATGGAAAACATCTTGCATTGCAGTCTGGAGCACCAGGCTGCAGGTCCAGCACAAAAAGCAGGTTTGGGCCAGAAGCAGAGGCTCTCAGCTTTGCTCTGTGGCTGCACCTCAGCAGCGGTGCCCTTGTCCTCTGCAAGTTTGATGTTACAGCCAGAGGAGAAGTCTGATGAAAAGCAGCTTTGTGAAGGAAACAGCTTTTCAGTGTTTGATCTTGTACAAGTGGGGTCTCACTGGAGTGCAGCACTGTCAAGGTGTGCACCATGAACATTCTCTGCTCCTCCCTGTGAAGATCACCTTCAAAAACACCTGCACATGGACTTAACTTGATTTTCAGGCTGTTTAATCCACAAGTTCAGGAAATATTTGAATCCTGATGTTTTATTACACTGAAGGAGAAGAGAAGTTTTGAAGCTGTTAAATCTGACAAGATCTTCAGTGCCTTACCCATCCTTTTGGTTCCTCAGGAACAGCCAAAGCAAGCATCAAGGCTGTGCTTATCTGCCTGCAGCCAGCAGCTCTGCTGAAGTCAGCAATGCAGAGTGATTATTTCTGCAGTTCAACAATATGTTGAGTTTTTCAAATCCCAAATAGTTGCTTCACTTTTGCTCATCTGTTCCATCCCACTTCCCTTTCTCAATATCCTAGGTTTCAATCCAGCCTAGCCTCAAGCTCATCACAAAAAGCAATTGTCCTCTGGTAGTAATTTAGCATTATTTTCTTATGGAGCCATGTAAGGGTGTAAAAGGAATCCAGCAAATCATAAAACTGGAATAGATGGAAACATCAAAAATGGTATTAAGACTTTCACAGGTAAATTATTCAGTAATAACAGTAATCCTGTTATGCTTTTTGGTGTCTAGAAATGGCAGTTGTACTGCATTCTGACAGCTTGTGCCTGTACAAAGGTTTTTGTTGGAGTTTTTTTGTTTGATGTTTCCTTTTTTTATTTAATAGAACTCTGTAAAACCAACTCAAGTGAGTCAAGCACCCCAAAGCTTTAAAACCAGGGTTCAGCAAATAAGAATTTGGGAACAATTGATTATATAATATGAAAATATGATATCACATCTCCATTTTGAGCTGCAGCATTTACTTGTGTGAGGCATTGGAGCTTGTCTTGGACAAGGAGGAGATGTGTCTGGGGAGCTTCTGGCAGAGCAGCACTGCTGAGGGTAAGGAGAACATGAGCTCCTTAGGGTTTTGGAAGGCACTGCCTTGCTCCTGGTTTGTTCCTTCTCAGCCATGCTGGTGCTGGAACGACTGTGGACAGTTTGTACCCCTGGGGATGCAGGTTTGGCACTCAGCACTTAGAAATGGCCAGGCCCCAGAGTCCTCAGGTGACCTTGTTCCTGTCCAGGATGGCTTTGATGCTCAGTGTTGTGGTTCTGCAGCTGCAGCCTGCTGTCCCATGGTGTAGCTAGAAGGCAACTTCTAAAAATGTCATTTTGTCCTGCAACTCTGCCTCCCTGAAGGACAGAACAGCCTTGGAGGGCAGCAGGGGAATGGGATCCTGACCTTTGGGGTTGCCCAGAGCTGCTGAGCACCCTCTGATCCCTGGATGTGGGAGAATCAAGTGGAAATTGAGACCTTCCTGCCTTTTGCTGCTCTCCATGCCAACAAACCTTCCTTTAATCTGTGACTTTGGCACATCACTGCATTGTACTAATAATTTACCCCTAGGATTAATACAGGTGTCCTTAATACCATGCTCTGCTGCCCTCTGCTATGCCTGGTGTCTGTGCCAGCAGTTGAACAAGCACAGAAGCTTAAATAAAGTGTGAACCATGATTTCCATCCCTTCTTTGAAATAATTGAATAATAAAACAATTAAAATTGAAATGTTAATTTTTCTCCTGCTTGCCAGGGAACTGGCAGAGCTGTTCTTTGAAAGTGAGGGTGACTGCTCAGCACTAGAGATATTTGAAGATAACTGGAATGAAATGTCTGGGTCACCCCTTTTGTGCAGTTCAGTGCCTGTGCTGCCACGTTTGAAAATTGCTGTCTTTGCCACACTTGAGAAGGGGCTGAGGCTGGAAAGGCTGGCAGTGCCAGCCCTGCTGGGCACATTGATGTTTTCAAAGCTCTCTTGGTTTGGAAAGACAGGTGTCTGCTGAGGAAGGCAGGAGCCTCCCCTAAAATGGAAAATGTGAACCCTTTCCCTCTGAATTGTTATAAATTTTAAATTAAGGGGCTCTCAGGCAAAAAATATGGGAGCAGGAATAATAGTTGTTTAATAGGGAAGAAAATAAAAAGATAAGATAAACAATGCAGGAAACTAGAACAACACTGCCAGAGTCAGAACCCAACCTGACACCCTGTGGGTCAGGCTGTTGGCAGCAGTCCCATTGGAATTGTGGCTCAGCCCTCCTGCAGTGTCAGGGGAGGTTCTGCTGGAGCAGGGATCCTGTAGAAAGGTGCAGTCTCTTCCTCTGAAGGTCCAGTGGAAGAAGAGGCTGCTGCTCCTCTGGGGAATCCAGTGGAGAAGCCATGCAGTTATTCCAGAATCTCCAGATTATATCCAGGCAGGAATGCTTGGCTCCTCCCCCTGGGCTCACATCTCCCAATGGGATGTTCTAGTTCTTATCAGCCATGCAGTGACATTCAATAGTCTGTTATCAGCAGGTGTTGTGGAAGAGATAAGGAAAACTTAGCAGAAGACAGCTGCCATCCAGATGGCAAATAGAATCCAATTTACTTGGGAATCCAGGCCAAAAGCAGCTAAACTTGAGTAGGTTTGTGCAGGAGCAGAGGGAATTGGATGGGGAGAGGCTGTGGGATGCTGACATTGTGCCTTGTTCATTAGGGCATAATTGGACATGGTCCTTAAGGGATTTGGGTTTCTGTGCTGCACACCCTCAGCACAGGGCCCAGAGCAGCAAACAAGCTCACATACACTCAGTTATTGAAGGTCTTTGCTGTGCTTAGAAAGTTTGGTGCTTTGAGGCTTTATCTTTAGTGTAAATTTGCATTTTAGACTTGAGACATATGTTTATGTGAGAACAGTATTTCTCTGTACTCCTACTACAGCTCACCCTCTTTTCTCTGATATGTTGGCAGTTTCAAGTATTAGTTTGACCCCTCTTTAATTTAAGAATAGATTGCTGAATTAGCTTTCATTACCCACCCTTCAAGCAGTGCAGTTTCCAGCTGGTGGCAAATCCTGAGGTATCACTCCTCTCCTTGAATGGAGGAGCAACAGGAATACACACAGAAAGCTCTGACCTTCTGTTTGAATATGCAGTATTTAGTTTTTGCTGGCTTCTAAATATCAAGTGGCCATGAAATGGGAATGCCTTTTCAGCATTTTGATTTAAATTAGTAATACATTACTCCTAATCTAGATTTTTTCCAGTTATTTAATGGATTAACTAAGTTTAATGTAATGGAAAACTTAAGTTTCTGACCACATTCAAAACTCCTGAAATGCCTGTCTAACTAACTGTGTTTTTCTTTGCAGGATATTGTCTGGGGGTTAAACTCTTTATTTACTGTAAGTAAAAGAATATTTTGCATGCCCCCTTTTCCTTTGCCTGCCTGGTTTAGTTTCAGCATCACCTAATGACAAACCAAACTGCCTTTAAAAGTTTAGGTCTTGATTTCCCTCGGCTTCAGTGGGTGTTGGATGAGTATGAAGTCAGATTGTGCTTTTGTTTGTGGAACTCATCCAGACTGTCTGAAATGCCAGCTTTTTGTACATGGGTTTTACTTTGGTTAGAAATATTAGAGGATATTTTGATAACAAATTATTTGGGATCTTTCACACACTGTGAAACTACTTCTGCTGATTTTAGTAAATAGAAATTAATACTGCTCTGAGAAGGAATTGTGAAATAGAAATTCATACTGCTCTGTGAAGGAATTGTGTTGGTGTTAGTCTTTAAAAAAAAATGTATTTTGGTATTAATATCTGCCCTGCAGTCTCATTCCTTGTTTGCATAAAACCTGACTTGTCACAGAATTTATGCGTTTTTATTCAGGGATCTCATTTCCTCCTCTGTTTTTTAAAGATATTTGGGAGCAAGGAACTTGTAATTTCAGGAGCACCTTGAAAATGGAGGAGAGGGCAGGAAGCAACAGCTGCTTTTGCCCTAAAAGTGCAGAGAAACAAAATCTTTACAAAAGTTACCTTTTTTAGGGATTCCTTTCCTCAGCCATTGCTGCTGGGTGGGAAGGTCAGGAGGAGGCAAAGAGCAGCACTGACTTGGTGGCCACATTTGTCTTCTCCTCTGGAGAGCCCACCCCACCCACTCCAGAGTGTAGAAGGAAGCTTGGATTTCCTGGCATCCAAAGCCTTGGTTTTTTCAACAATTTCTTTGGTAAATTGATGTAAAAGTTTGGAGAGCATTTGCCTTTCCAGCAAAAGTGAATTGCATTTCACAGTCAGTCTCCCTGTGCATGCCAAGTGGGAGGAAACAAAATCCTCAGGGGCAGAGCTGCATAAAATCAAAATATTGAGCAAAGAGCTGCAGGGAGGGGTGGGCCTGCCTAGGAGACCATGGGGGTTTGTCATGGCTGTGTCAGGAAAATGAATCCACAAACACCAGAGGTTTATGCCCAAAAAGGAGGCAGAAGAGTCCTGTAACTTAATTCAAATAAAGGGAGAGGCCATGGGGTGTTCCCCTGGGGTCTCTCCAATTTTTGGAACATGCAGCCTCCTTTTTATCCCAATTTCCCAGCCCCATTTCCCTTCTCTCTTTCCCCATTGGCTGAGGTACTTGAGTTGTACAGCCTTCTTGAAATGCCTGACACCAAGATTTGCCTCTAATGTACAGTCCTCCTATTTAATTTTTCATTCTTATGGAATTCAGGGTTTTTCCCCAGTGTTTCTTTAATCTTTCAATCTCCAATTTAATTTATCAGCAAACTACAGTTTGTTTGTAAAAGCAAATCTCTTTTTCCATTCATCAATCAGTGGAATCCTTCCCATTGTTTATTTTATCTCTTAGTGCTGGTTTTATCTACCACTTGTGATTGTGTGTTATTTTTTAATGCTGATTCCTCTTCTTTGTTGTTTTTAACTGTAAACCCTTTCTTCTTCCAAAGGTAATATTTGAGTTTAAACTGAGAGACCTGAGGTTTGTCAGGACTATTTCTGCTCCGTGTCTCCACATTAGTTCTCAGGATCTTTGCACTCTTTTACCACTATTTCCACTATTTCCTCTATTTCTATTATTTCCTCTATTTCCACTCCCCTGTTTTTCCCAGAGCACTAAAGCTTCCCTGTCAGGCTCCAGGTCACAGAGAGAGGGAAATTGCTTCTTCACAGAGAATGAAATTGCTTTTCTGTGGAGGTGGAATTAAGGAAACTCCCACTTTATCAGCACACTGTTTGCAGAAGTTTTTTTTCAAGGTTTACTTTGTCCTCTAAGAAAAACCAACAGGAATTGTGCCTCCTGAAGGTTTGACTGTTCCTCTAAAATTTAGTTTTCTGATAGAAATACTTTCACTTCCAGGGAGAAGTGTCATGGGGCCCACACCAGCAGGGCTTAAATGCCCTGGTGCTGTTGCCATTTAATTGCTCTGTGATTTGCTTTCCAATTACCAAATTACTCATTTGCATTTACCTTTGACACCGAGGCAGTGATTAAATGATGAAATATTGAAAAAAAAGATGAAATAAAACCTGCTGTCCTGTTTGCTTTATTCCATTTTGTTGTTCCTGAGGTCTCTGGGCTCCTGGTGATGCAGTGAGTGGGAGCCCCTCAATGTTCTCTCTTTCTTTTCTAGGATCTTTTGAATTTTGACGATCCTTTGAATATTGAGGCTGCAGAGCATCATTTGCGTGACAAGGTGAGTCAGTGGTTTATTTAAGGCAGGTTGTTCCTAAACAAGCACACATTCTGTACTCAGCACTTCCCAGGCAGTTCCTTTTAGAGTGGTGGAGCTGCTGCTCGAGGTAGCTGAGTGACTCATTGTATCAGCAGCCAGTTACTCAAACAAAAAGGGCTTTCTCTGGGAAAGCAAACTGCACACAGCTGAGTTAGTCACCATCTGCTGGGCTTGTGGGCCACAATGTGGTCACAGCCCCAAAATAGATCATCTTTCCCTTCTTGTGGCTGAGATTTCCCTCAAGTTGTGCATGTGCTGTGCAGCAAGCTGGTGGTGAGCTGCTTTGGCAGGGTGGCCTTTGCCTTAGAAGAGCTGTGAGAAGATCTCCTCTCTGTGTTTCCAAAGGCAGCTCCTTTACTCAGAGCTATTCCATGCTGCCTGTGTTTATAAAGCCAGGAGAAATCTGGGCAATTTAAAGAACAAGAGTAGAAACTTCTGTTTTCTTTTTACTGATCCTAATATTTATGTATTATGGACTGGGCAAGGCGGAACATGGCCTGGTGAACATAAATGAGATGTACTGCTCACCTCTGAGCAAAAGTGCCAATTTCTCCTTTGGATCCATCTCCAAAATTCCATCATGTCATGGATGCATTCCTCAAGCCCACAGAACTCACTCCTAGTTATGTTCCAGACATCTTGTTCTAATTTAACTTTTCTGACACTTTTGTTGGAGTTAACCTTTAAGATTGCAGGAAGTTTCCAGGTAAGCAAGTGTTGATTTGAAGAGTTCATTGAAAGTACAGTCAGGCAGTGCACCTAATTTATCTCATTTTTTCAAGAGGAAATACCAGGATTGCAAGTTCATCTTTCCAGCTATTTTTTGATTAATGAGATCTTGTAGCTATTCTGGTATTCATCCATGTGTGCAGGGCTGAGATGAGAACATACAGCAAAGCTGGAAAAAATTACCTGCAAACCTCCTCTGGAAGAGAGGGGTCTCTGTGCTTTTGTTTTATGGAATTACAGAATGATTTGGGTTGGAAGGAACCTTAAAACCCATCCCATTCCAGCCCCTGGGTGGTTCAAATTGCTGTCCTGCACCTCTCAGCCTCATTGAGAGATTGGGAATCCACAGAAAGGAAAATGCTGCCTGATTTAAAAGGCACACCTCCCTCAAAAACAGAGGTGAGCCCTCAAAAATAGGTACTGTTAACACTTATTAATTACATGGAAGTTGTTTGAAGAAGTAAAAAGCAAATTAAGTGATTTTTTGACAATCTTCTAAATCACAATTTTTTGGAGAAAACATATTTTTTATTTATTAAACTCCTAGTGGTCTCATAAGCATCTCTAAAATTCATATTATGCCATTTTAATTTTCTTTTTTGAGCCTCTCTGAATTTAATGTGTGTGTAATGACAGCACCAGGTAGGGCTGGATTTTTTGTAGTATGTTTTGTGGTGACATCAAAAAAAATCAATGATGCCTTTGTGGAGAGAATAAATAATGCAAGGGAGAGGAAAAGCTGCACTTGCAGCCTGAGTTGTTTTGGTTCCCTGTGGCAGAGATGTCATATTTTACATAAACACTTTGTTGTGGAGTCAGACTGCTGTGGTACCATCCTGGCTCTTAAGAAATATTTGCAATGCCCAATAGGATTAATATGGGAATGTTAATTAGTTTTCTTTCCTCTGAGACCTGTTTTTTTTAGGTAGCAAATTCTTCTTGGGAAGCAGCTGTGCTGGGAATGTTTGTGTTGGGTCAGGCTGGAAGGGGCTGCTGTGATCCCTTTCTCTGGGAGGCACCTCTCCATTCTTGCAAAAAACCTGTGGTGTGTAACTGAGCACATTTGGAAAAGCAGCCTTGTTCTAAGATATAAAATGATAGAAAATTCAGAGCTCAATTCCATAAATTGATCGTTTTATTAACCTGTCCTGCCTGAGATGTGTTTGGTGCAGCTTCACCTTCCAGCCCTGCCTGACTTCCTTCAGCTCCAGGAGGGAGCTGCCACTGACTGAACTTGTTCCTTTGCAGCTCCCTTCAGTCACTGAGCATCAAGCCACTTCTACAAATTATTTTAAAAAATAAATGTGTTTGTTTATGCAGCTTTACTCATTCTACACTTCTCCCACACACACCTTGCTAGGTGCCAGTAATTTTTGGCAGGCTGTACAACAAATTTGGGCAACATCTGTTTTCCCAAATGCTGGACATCTCTGGTGCCCACATTGCTCTGCAGTTGAGTCAGTCACTGGGAGATAAGCAAGCATCCTCTCCTGGTGTAGAGCTCAATAAATCAGAATAAAAGGATGATAAAAAGATGATTGATGTGTCTGTGTAAACCAAGCAAGGAGTTGCCCAGCATTGTCTTCTCACACTGATACAATCTCAGCAGTTTGGTTGTTGATTTCTTGCTGAATTTAAAGAAGCTCTTACTAATTAATGAGCTTGTGGAGCAGTGCATTTAGCACAGGAGTCACTCTGTCAGTAGTTATGGATAGCCAGAGCCATTAATTATCAATCAATCCCATGGATTCTAAAGCAATGATCAAGTCTTTAAGTTTTAATGACTGCTCACCTAAAAATGATGTGAAATAAAAATTGTGGGATTTGCTGGTTTTTATACAGCAAACACATAGAGCTTGTCAGGTAGGCTGAACACTGAAACATTGGGGATCTTTTGGGAGATTCAAGCTCTGGAAGAGCTTGGCAGTGGAAAACCAAGTGAGCTTAGTGCTTCAGGACTTGGTATTCCTCATGCAGAGGGGCTGTGGGTGTGATTTGTTAGCTGAAATGTAGGAAATGCTCTTATGTGTCATGGCTGCTTTGGGAGCTGCCTCATGACAAATGGTGATTTGCCAGTGTAAAATGTAAAAACCTTTGCATTTCCTAGAGGTGTTCACTGCTGCCAAAAAACATTTCAAAGCCATTTGTATTACACACAACAGAAAATTCATTGCTAGCTTAGTGTGGCATAAAGTAGAAATGTTTTTCCAAGTATTCCTTTTAAATTTCTTCCTCACCTAGGCCTGCTGAGTCAAAAACCCCAATGCTGTGTCCTATTTGAATTATATTTCCCCCGTGTTTGGTGCAATTCAAACAAACTTTTGTCATCCTGCAGATTAGCAAGCACTCTATTATTTTTCATGAAAGATCTGAGTTCTGGAAGAGCTTGGCAGCGGAAAACCAAGTGAGCTTAGTGCTTCAGGACTTGGTATTCCTCATGCAGAGGGGCTGTGGGTGTGGTTTGGTAGCTGAAATGTAGGAAATGCTCTCTGTGCGGCCTTGTCATGGCTGCTTTGGGAGCTGCCTCAGGACATGGTGATTTGCCAGTGTAAAATGTAAAAATCTTTACATTTCCTAGAGGTGTTCACTGCTGCCAGAAAACTTTTCAAAGCCATTTGTACAACACACAACAGGAAATTCCTTGCAAGCTCAGTGTGGCATAAAGTAGAAATGTTTTTCCAACTATTCCTTTTAGATTTCTTCCTCATCTAGGCCTGCTGAGTCAAAAACCCCAATGCTGTATCCTATTTTAATTATATTTCCCCCGTGTTTGGTGCAATTCAAGCAAAGTTCTGTCATCCTACAGATCAGCAAACACTATTATTTTTCATGCCTGTGATCAGGAGCTGTTTCAGCAGTAGGAGAAGCTGAGTTCCATCTCCCTGTGCTGTTTCCATCTCAGTGCAGCCCATCAGTCCTCACTCAGTGCTTGCTGCTGTGTCCTTGTGAAAGCCTCAGGTAGATTGCTCTTGGCAGGGAATTTTTCTTCCTCCTTGTGAAAATCCAGCTTGTCACATTTACCTGCAGCTCTGAAGTGCCAGAGCTGAGAAATCTAATGGGAAGAGGTGAGTGTTTGCCAAGGACCCACTTCAAACACATTTTTTTTACCTAATTCAGTGAGCCTTGATTTTATTTGGAAAGCAGCATTTAATGCTCAATTATTTTGCATAAGTTTGTGTGGAGGAGTTTGGCTCTGGATTGACTTTTGCTATTCTTTTTTTAATTTTTAAATTTTGATTAAAGGCTTCTCTGGCTGATAAATAAAATACAAGATTTTATTTCAGGGTTATTTCTGTGGAGATGGATTTATGAAGTTTGTGGCGTTAGAGAATCTGAAGCTGCTTCTGAAGGTTTTCTGCCCTCAGTTTTGTAGGAAACTTGGCTTTAAATACCCAGGCCCTCCTGTCAGCTGCCTGTGGTCCTTGGAGGGTGTTCTGGTGACTCTTGTGGGATGAATGTTCTCCTGTCATTGTCCTCACCAGGGAGAGCACTGATCTCACTCCATTAGAAATTCCATCAGTAATTAGAAACAGTGGCTCAGTACAGATCTCACTGAAGAGATCTGCTCACAGAGTTAACACAACTTCTATTAATGGAACTAAGAAAATATGGGGAAGCCACAATTGCTCTGTGAGTGCCAGAGGTTTTGGATTTTTTTGGTCACAACTGGCAGCAGGATTCTAGGGGCATCTTCAAAACATTAGGTGCTGGACAAATGACTTTCAATGCTGCATCTCCCTTAGATATCCATAAGTCTTACATCAGAGTTATGGAATGAAAATTATGGACCAAATAATCTAATTTACAGAAAAAAATGTACCTGGAAGGGTGGAAAGAAAAAGACATAACCTACAGATTGGACTTGTAAGTTTTGTCATACAAACTCTGCAACAGAGCAGGAGAGAAAATCAGGTCTGGCAGGGCACAGATGAAGAACAGGCATTGTAAAAAAGCTCTTAATATTACAGTAGAATAATAAACAAAGGTGGGTAATTTTTATAACATTTCATAATTGTAGGCAGTTTGTTAGAGCCCTTAAACAGCAAACAGGTCAGAATTTTTACAGGAGAGTCTTAATTGTTCAAGCATTGCCCAGAGAAGCTGTGGCTGCCCATCCCTGCAAGTGTCCAAGGCCAGGTTGAACAAGGCTAGGGATGGTGGAAGGTGTCCAGCCCATGGCAGGGGTGGAATGGGATGAACTTCCAACCCAAACCAGTGTGGAATTCTCTGAA